ACCACCCAAAGATTCACTGCTATAGTCTATGGTCTACAAAATGACCTTACGAATTCCCCGATAATGGCAGTTCGAAGATAACAAAAATACATCGTAGGAATGCTAGTGTTCAACCTTCAACATTAAGCTATCCCTACCAATGAATTTGCTTCAGTTGAGGCAATTAGATTTGTCTTAGTCTACGTTGCCTAAAAGCTTCATGATGGCAGATTGTTTGTCAAGTTTAAGAACTAACCCTAACTTCAATTTTAGCAAATAAAACTATGTCCTTAGCAATCACATACACTAGGACCCCCTCTCCACACATACAAACACCTCCCAGCCCACCCAACCAACCAAAAATGAATGAATAAAAATCCAAAAAAAAAAAAAGAAGATAGAGAAGCTTTCTCCAAACACTATGCAACTGAACAGCTGCAAGTTCAACTTATATAATCCAATATGTTGCTGAGAATATCAGCCAAATATTAGAGATTTCTATAAGCACTGACCAGTCACTTTGTGCAAGCAATGCCCAACTCAAATCTCAGTTTCGAATTCCATTGACAGTATGACAAGATGTAGTAGCCACTTTCAACTTGACTAAAAATCAAATTTTTTTCAATTCAACTTAAACAATTCCTTCAAAAGGCTAGTTGTGGACATCAACAAACAGAAAATTTAATTATTTTTCTTTTGAATTTTTGTAATAATCTCTAGCTATGATGCACGGATACGGACACAGGACACAACACAGACACGCAGACACGCAAATTTTCAAAAAATAGGGGACACGACACGCTGGGGACACGTTTAATATATATGATTTTATTTATTTATTATATATCTAAAGTTTAAAAAACAAAAATCATTGGTTCCTATAAAATTACAATAATAATAAAATTAATAAACACATTACCTAAAAGTTTTTAATAAAAATTGATTTTTTTTTTCAAATAAAAATAATTTGTTTTATAAATTTTAAACAAAAACATGGATATCAAAAAAAAAGGAAAAAATAAAATAGAGGAAGGGAAAGCGACATTAGAAAAAAAGGGCGGGGAGAGGAAAAAAACAGAAAAAGAAAAACAAAAGAGAGGAGAGAAAAAAAAAGACAAAAAAACGCAAAAGGGGAGAGAAACAGAAAAGGAAGAGAAACGAAATCGGAGGAGAAGGAGGAGGAGGAAGAGAAAACGAGGAGAACAAGAAGAAGAAGACAGAAAATGAAGAGAAGAAGACGAAGAGAAGAAGAACAGAGAAGACCAAGTTGCGAAACAGGTTAGGGTTTCTGTCTCTCTTTCTCTCTCTCTCCTCTCCAACATGTTTAGGGCTTCTTCAATCCACCTCACGCGTGTCTGAAACGTGCCATTGCGTGTCCGACTGGAAAAATTCCAAAAAAGAAAGGAGGACCCATAAGAGAGAGTGTCTGACACATGTCCGACACTTGTACGCAGGCCTCGGGGAGGTGTCCATGCTTCATAGATCTCTAGGAACTGATTTTTCTAAAAGGTGTACCATGTATGAAGAATTATGTTCTTACTTACCAAAACATTAAAGAATTATGTTCTGAAGTCATGTGTTGGGTCTGTAATAGAGTTTACGTCAGCCATCTTTGTATGTAAAATATAACAATTAACAATAAATAAAACACGTTATTGCTGCCATAATCTTTCTTTGATGCGTCCTAACTTTCAATAATTTTAAAACGAACAAGATAAAATTTCTAGCACACAAAGAAATCTATCAGCACAAAAATCACCCCTTTCTGTTTATTCTTATCAGTTTTGCACAGATTTAAGAGTTTTCATGGCAGAAGTAAACCATCAATAGCAAAAAAAAGATAATAGAATTTATTTTTATTTTTCTGTAGTTCGGCCAAACGTTTATGGGGAAAAAAATGCAAAAGGATTAAAAAAAATAATTAAAAAGAAAACAAACAAACAAACAAACAAAAGATTGAACTCCATAAAGAAACTCAAGGAAAATGAGATCATAGTGCATTCCGCGTAAGCCACATATAGAAATGGGATTACTTAATATTGAAAATAGCTGATTAAAACAATCATGCATGCATGATAAGTAAGAAAGATAAAAAGGAAGTCTAAAAACAAATAAACAAATGAAATTGACAAATTCATCAATGTGGAGAAAGAAAATATAAATGCATCATCAGGTTTTTTTATTGCTTCGGGGGTTTGCTTTTGCTCAGCTCAGCTCAGCAAATAAACAGCCTAGATTTAACAGCATTCTAATTTTTCACTCCTATCTTATGTGTCAGGATTTGGATAAAAACATTATCTATGAATTAAAGTACATGATATGAGAACCTAAATGTGTCTCATCTCTATTACAACTACAACTACAACTAAATCAAACACAAGTCTCAGCATGGCCATTCCAAGTTTAGGGTTAAAGATAAAGAAATGATGTATCATCTATGTCTGGCCTGACAGGTCAAGTTGTTTAACTTCACTTTAAATGCATAAGACAAACAGTATGCATAGATGTGTTTTAACAACTTTGTAAAGGCACTAAGCATTGGCCAAATCAACACCAAAGAATAGGCATACAGAACAGTGAAGGGGAAAAGGAACATTTCACCAAGAACACATACACGATGGCAAAAAAGAAGTTTAATTATTATCAAACTACCACAGTCAATTATCAATTGATGAGATAAGGTCAATAGAAAACACATCTGTGACAAACCATCATATAATGAGTATGTCTTGAATAACTGTTCAACAAGCAAAATCACATATCATAACAACAAAAGAGAATCACTATCAACTTAACGTAGCTCTTCACAACAAGGTCAAAAAGACAATGTTTGAGCCCCAAGTGGTGCAAAGTATCCTCGTTCCCATAGTTATCCTTAATTAGATTGTTGATCGCAAAAAGATGGTATTACCAGTTTGAAAAAAAAAAAAAATACAAACACCATTTTTCTTTCAAAACAATGGAGGATAAATCTTTTTCCACCCTTCGGTATCTTCCAACCTTGCTTCCACAGAAAAAATATACATGTCAGCTCAACAAAGCTTTCATTGAAAGAGATATGCACTAGAACTGAAAAGTGGCAAGCAATATATGATCTATAATAACTTATTTTGTGGCTTCATCATGACAGAATCACCTAGCACAAAATCCCAACTTGTTCCTTGAGATATCACATTAACATTTCACCGATGAGGGCTCTCAATTACAATCTGCAATAAAATCTTGATGGGTTGATGTCTACTTTTGGGGCTTGCAAGAGAAGTCTTCTATTATAGGATCAAAATCATACAAAACAATCTTGAGCCAAACAATAGCAATACAATATAGAGGACAGTTATTATAGGAGAAAAAGGGTAGATCGTTGCCAAATCATTGAATTCCCAAGAACAACCATCTTCAAGCACATTGCTTGCCAAAACTCCAATTTGGGATCAGGGGAGCTTGGAGATCCAGACAACAGCATTGCTCTAAATTCACTATTATCTGAATAAGGAAAAGTCTGCTCCATCTTTCCTTAAGGAAATGAGGATGATCACAGAGTGGTGAGCTCAAAAAATTCCCAATTAAAATCTTTCATGGATTGCTGCGGCAACCAAATACATCATGATGTAATGGATCAGCGGATTAGGTCAAAGAACTTAGTTCTTCTCTTTGAACTTTAAACCAAAACAAGCTGCTAAAACAAACTGGCTGACACCATCAATGGGTGCTCCTTTCGTTTGCAGTTCAGGCATTTCCAAGCTTGGCAAACAGCACTGTTAAAACAAGATGTCAAGCGATTAATTACATAAGCTCGTTCCAAATATCACACCCATTCTTCAAACACCTTCCCAATAGTAATTGGATGTCATCATGGCATCTCCAACGAAAGTAACCATCTTTGCTGCATAAGTCATAAGAAATCCTTGTGGAATAACCAGCATCTAAGAAGCACGGACATAAATGCAGAAACAAGACACTATGATTTCAAAAAAATTGGGACACGGATACAGTGGAGATATGGCAATAGAAATTGTACATTTTTTATTTACTAATGTAGATTAATATTTTTTTTGATAACTGGGTGTCTGAACCAACTTGTGCGGACCTCGACTAATCTCAAGGCCCTAAAGTTGATAACCACATAAACCTATAGTGGCCCTTGGGTGACTCGAACTCGAGATCTTGGATCTTATCCTCAAATCTTTACCGCTCAGCCAACCCCTTGGGGCTTACTAATGTAGATTAATATTATATCCACAAACAATCAAAATTAACAAAAGCTAACACTAATTCAATATAAATAAATAAACATCACTCTTAAGTTAACTCTTGTCATTTATGCCTCTTTATAAATGATCTATCAATTATTTAAGTCCAAACAAAAAGTAAAAAACATTCAGTATCTAACATCCATCAAAAGCACTAAAGAAGAGGGGGGGAAACTACTTAGCGTGTTCCCAAAGTGTAGTGTGTCCCCAACGTGTCTCCAGTGTAATAATTAATTACATAAAGGGATATGCAATGTGGCGTGTCCTATATGTGTGCCCGTTGTATCCCTGTATCTAACACCACTATGGCATGTGTTTTAAAGTGCCGGTGCTTCATAGACCGGCATTGACAGGTTTCTCAAAGCACAATCTAGCATGAACGACCAAAGTTCATTTCATATATCTAGAAACACATGTCTAGATGGAGCCTTTTGATCAAGAAGTACCCATACACATAATAACCGTATGCTAATTAATGTCTAAATCAACCACATATAAAGAAAGCAAATAACAAATCAAATTCCCTTGAAAACTCCACAGTTTTTGGAACATCCATTGTATATAGTAATCTAAAACAATATCTCAAGTCACCCAACATTATTTTTAGCGGTTGTTCAAGAAATATTTTCATAGAGGCCCACGAACTCGCCACCAACTCTCACACAACTTTGAAATAAAACAAATGGGTAGTACTGTAATTGTAATGTTAGGAATAAAAGCATAAATTTTAGGTTCATATAATTCTATTGAGAATGTGAAAACAAACCATACCAATAGAATAATCCAAAACTGCAACTGGGTTTTCCAAATCCAATCTTGAGACCTCTGTCAATAAAGAGTAAATTCAGAGAAGGTTCAGGGTTTTGGAGAAGCTCTTCAACAAATGCAAACACTTGAATATATCAATTAAATAACTTGAAACCCCCCTTACCTCTTTCAATAAATTCAAAATGTCCCTTGAAATATCATTTAAAATTGTTCAGAACAATGTCACCATACCAAATACCCACTATGGCGAACTCGAATTCATATTCTGAAAGCCAGCCATGTCATCCACAAAAGTAGAAGCATAATAGCTCAGAACGAGACATACCCTTGAGAGCTCCATCTTGGTTCTCTCTCTATCTCTGTGTGTGTGTCTGATACCAGGGGTCCAACTTCAGTACAGAAAAATGGTTTTCTACCATAAATACCACTCTCAACCCACTCTACCCACCGGAAATCACCACTCCTTCGTTTCTTTTTTTAACTTTTCTATTTTTTTATTTTTTTTGGTAAATTACAAAGAATTATAAATACCCTTTTATTATAATGTTTTATTTAACATAATTAATTAAAAAATAAAATTCATAATTACTCTCCTATACAATAATAAAATTATCAAAATTATTAATTGAAACATATTTTTAACATCATTAAAAACAGTTATTTAACTTGATGATTTATTAATAAAATGAACGATTTGTTATGAAATTAGAAATCTGAGATGAAATGTAATTTTCAAAATTACAAGGGGTGATTCATATTTTAATCAAATCTCAATAGATGTATTTGTAATTTACCTTTTTTTTCTTTTTTCTTTTTTTTTTTTTTTAAATAAGAATAGGTGGTCACTTTTTATGTAATGGGTTTTACATCAAATTGTTTTAAACCTGGCTTGGGAAGTATAGGTTGTTTTAGATTTTGTGTTTAGAAAGATGGGTTGAATTTTTTATTAAATTGTTGTATTAAAAAATATGTTTGAAACGATGTTGGAAAATTCTATTTGCACACACTTGATTACCTTAATACACATATTTTCTCAACACACATACCTATTAATTTTCTCAATCCACATATTAAAAGTTATAATTGTATCATTCACTCATAACTATTGTACACACACGACTTAACCATTCTTTCCATGATTTAACCAACTTCCACATTTGCGTGAAGACCCTTAGGCAATGTTTGATTCCATAAGATTAATAGTGAGGTATTGATAATCCTATTAAATTAGTGTGGTATTCATAATCCCACCCTTACCCCATTACTAATAATCCTACAAATTTGTTGGATTAACTATCCATTGGATTAATAATCCTAAAACAAAATGTCAAAACAAACATGGGATAATTGGACCCACGGATTAATAATCCCAATCCCATACTCTAATCCTTCCCATCAAACATGCACTTAAAACTTAAGTCTGAAGTAAAATCAAATGAAGACACTTTTCTCCATCAAAGACCTCCATTGAAAACCCTCCAAATTCGGTAAGAGCATGTGCTTCATCAGATTCCAATTACCTCTTTCCTCAAAATAGAATCATTTCTTCCATTTTTCTTACTAAAATCTCTGTCTAACAAGTAGAAAAACTTGAGATTTCAATAGTAGATTTAATGAACAACTTACAGTGAGTCCTTTATACACTGTGTAAGAATACAAATTCAAGCCATAAGAAAACAACCAACTTCCTTAGTCTTGGAAAGATATATCTTTAAAGATCAATTTCTTATGTTAGTTAATAAATATATTAGTTAGTGGAACTTAAAAAACTCTATGTTTCACAATTTAAAACTCTGAGTTCTCTACTACAACTATAATTTAGAAAATCCAATGATACACGGGCTATCTTTGTATATTATAGTGGTATAATTAGAGAAACATTAACTTTGAACAATATCGATACTCTAAAATGGACAAGATACTTGGTAACAAGTTCATCCAATCAACATCATTGTTATAAAAAAATGATTTTTGTTATTTATTAACAAGACGATTTTTGTTATTTATTAACCAAATGATTTTTGTTAGTTATTTCGATTGATTAGTTCCGAAAAGAGATAAAAAAAAAATAAAAAAAATCGATACTTTAACTTACGAAAAATGTGTATATTGAGATTTTTTTGTTCTTAAAAGATGTATACAGAGAGTTTTTTTAAATAATATTATAGGTGTTGCTGGATGTCTATTCTGGTCATTTTAATTTAGGATATAATTATCATTAAATTAACGATGTTGGGATAGTAAATCACCAAAATGCCCTCTGTCATATGCAGCTTCTTTCCAAAAAAAAATTATGTTGATGTGGCACTACAGGAATTTGACGACCACTACTACCAACGAACAAAATTTAAATTTTGGTCCAAATTAAAAATAGAAACCAAAAAATTATAGAAATTATGAATTAAAATAAAAAATTATAAATTTGTAAGAAATCTGACTTTTAATTATAAAAATTATGAATTTGTAAGATATTTGGCTTTAAATTCAACAAATTACAAATTAGAAAAATTTACAAATGAGGAAAATAGTATGTATGGTATTTGATTAATTGTATTGAATGCAATAGAAGACATATATATATAGGCTGAGAAAGAGTATCCTATTAGAAATCTAACTATGGGAAAAAGTATCCTATAAGAAACCTAACTATGGAAATACCTAATATATTTAGGAAATCAATACTTAATATATGTAGGAATATATACCATATATACATTAATATCCCCTCTCAAACTCAAGGAGGATAAACATCTTGAGTTTGAAGAGAGAAACTAAAATATGAAATAAAACTAAATAAAATAAAAGGCAAATAGATTGCAAAATCCGAATGGGAGCGCAAGGGCGCTTGAAATAGATCAAAGGCCGAAACTAAAGCCAGGAGACAGTTTATGGTTGTGTCGGACCATTGTAAGAACTGGCTGAAACTAATGCCAGGACAATTTAAGATTGTATCGGACCGAAATAGAAACTGGCTAGAACTAATGCCGAGAGACAGTTTATGGTTGTATCAGACCATTGTAGGAACTGACTAGAACTAATGCCAAGACAGTTTAAAGGGGTCACGCCGGACCGATGTAGAAGCTAATTGGAATAAATGTCGGGACAGTTTAAAGGGGTCATATCAGACCGATATAAGAGCTAACCAGAATCATTGTCGGGACAGTTTAAAGTAGTCATGCCGGACCGATGTAAAGGCTAACCGGAATCAATGTCGGGACAGTTTTAAGACGTCATGCCGAATAGATGTAGAGACTAGATGTTGAACCAGCAAGAGTGGCACACACATAAATTACAACGTGGTGCTGAACGATGATAGTAATAAATGACTGAATGCGCCAGGAGGTGGCTTGGATGGTGCGCCAGGGGGCGAGTTTCGTGGTGCACCAAAGGAAGCGGCTTGGATTGTGCGCCAAAGGAGGCGGCCAGGTGGTTTGCATGGTGTATAACCATGTTCACCATGATATAGGTATAATACCCCCCCTCAAACTCAAATAGGTTTGAAGATATAAACCTATTTGAGGTTGAAATAGAGGGAAAGACGAAGTGGAGCAACAATAAACAAAAAAGATGATTGCGGGTAAAATATATATATATATATATTATATATATATATAATATGATAGAGATATTTGGGGTAGGAATAAATTAGCAGATAGAGGAAAAAATCACCATGAAGCAATACTGAAAGGAAAATATAGCGGTGGAATGGGTTGAGGTCCGGCGGGCGGTAGGGCGACCAAGGTAAGGCTGCCGCCCGCCGATAAGGTGAAGAACACCTAGAGCTTAACCTATAACTCTGATACCATGTTAGAATGGTAGAGAGAGAGAGAAAGGAAAATAATATGTATGGTATTTAATGAATTGTATTGAATACAATAGAAGGTCTATATATATAGGATGAGAAAGAGTATCCTACTAGAAATCTAACTATGGGAAAGGGTATCCTATAAGAGATTTAACTATGACATTACCTAATATATCTAGGAAACCTAGGAATTTTTTTTTTTTTTTAAGACAAGAATGAAAATACATTTCATTCAACACAAATTGCATTAAAATATTGAAATAATATATTGTCTTAGCAAAGAAACAAAATATTAATCTGCACACTCAAATAAAGAAACAAACAATACCACAAACAACTAAATATCCAGTATTCATACTGAAAAACAGAGAAATAATAAATATAAGCCTCCTTGTAATTTCCAACCAGTGCTTGCGTCCTTCCTAGTCTCCATCTTCAACACCACCCTAATGAAATCACTGCACTCATGCCATAATCTGAGTTTGAGCCCCTTGTAGCCAAAAGGACCTTGCTTCATTAGTTTGACAATGTTGTTAGCATTCAAATTCATTAGACAAACGTTATCAAAAAAAGTAGTAAATAAGATGAAATCGGGGAGAACTTGGTGCAGCACCTTGATGATTTTTCCAGAGGAAATATTTGGATTGATGTCCCTTCCATGTTCGCAAACAGTCCTTAAGTAATTTACCACTTCACATGGCACCTTAAAATAACTTCAAAAAACAGATTGTCCTTGTTCATTGACGAAATACAGAACTTGCTGCAGTGGCGACTGATGATTATCCCAATAATGTTCATTATTACTTATTTGGATTCTATACAGGCCAATCATCCATATTCGAGAGAGAGGTGCTTCTATCTAAACAAACAAGAAGGTTGAATTCTCTTGGATTTCTCTTTCGGATTTCATACACTTTATAAATAAAGTGAACTTTATCCACTTTGTTGACAAAAAAGTGGGTGAGAATAATTAAAAAATGTTATTTTCTTAACTTCATAAAGAGTAATATGACTTGAAAAGGAGATTGAAAAATATTGGCCTTCATCAAAGCCATAATGTTGTAAAAAGCTGTCATAAGCATGAGGAAGGGGACCATTAAGAGTAAATCTATCCATAGCTAAATATACCATGTGTCTAAAGTGTTGAACGTCAAGAATAATCCCATCTATTAGGCTAAGGTTTAGATGAGGATTCACAACCAAATCTACCCCTTATATGTCCCAAGATCCAGATGCAGTTGTACAACTAATCTGCCTAATCTTTAAATAATGAAGTTGTTGATAGATATTCACGAACACGATGGTTTCAATGGTGATCTGTGGACCTCAACCCATTTCACTACTATATTTTCTTTTCAGTATCGCTTCATGGTGATTTCTTCCTCTATCTGCTAATTTATTCCTACCCCAAATATCTCTATCATAGATATTTTATTTTAATTTGTTTTACCCGCAATTCTCTTTTTTGTGTATTTTTGCTCCACTTTGTCTTTCCCTCTGTTTCAACCTCAAATAGGTTTCTATCTTCAAACCTATTTGAGTTTGAGAGGAGTATTGTACCTATATCATAGTGAACATGGTTATACACCATGTAAACCATCTAGCCACCTCCTTTGGTGCACAATCCAAGCTGCACTCTCTGGCGCACAATCCAAGCCGCTTTCTTTGGTGCACCA